TTTCCAAAAATAGTGCCGAATGTGTCAGTGGCCGTGAAATCGTGCTGCGCAATTGACTTTTTTGTATTCGATCTTCGAAATTAGGCTTTTGGATTCGGGTTTTTTCGTCTAACGGTGTAGAGTAGAATTTTCTGTAATGGGATTAATTACTTTTTTTCGGTTCCGAGCATGTGTTTTCCAAAAATAGCACCGAATGTGTCAGTGGCTGTGAAATCGTGCTGCGCAATTGACTTTTTTGTATTCCATCTTCAAAATTAGGCTTTTGGATTCGGATTTTTTCGTCTAACAGTGTAGAGTAGAATTTTCTGTGATGGGATTGATTACTTTTTTTCGGTTTCGAATGTGCGCTTTCCAAAAATAGTGCCGAATGTGTCAGTGGCCGTGAAATCGTGCTGCGCAATTGACTTTTTTGTATTCGATCTTCGAAATTAGGCTTTTGGATTCGGATTTTTTCGTCTAACAGTGTAGAGTAGAATTTTCTGTGATGGGATTGATTACTTTTTTTTGGTTCTAAGCGTGTGTTTTCCAAAAATAGTGACTAAAGTGTTGGTTGGGGACAGATCGTACTGCGCAGTTTACTTTTTTGGTTTCTATTTCCAAAATTAGGCTTCCAACTTCGGTTTTTTTTATTTATCCTTGTAGAGTGAATTTTTCCGTAACGGGATTGGATATTTTTTTTTCTTCTTCCAGCGTGCGTTTTCGAGAAATAGTGCCGAAAGTGTAAGTGCGTGAGAGATCGTGCTGCGTAATAGACTCTTTTGGCTTCTATTTCCAAAATTAGGCTTTTTGATTAGGTTTGTTCTATATATTCGCGTAGGGGGAACTCTCCTTTAACGCGATTGTATATTTTTTTTTTTGTTTTTGAGCGGGCATTTTCGAAAAAGGCTGCCGTAAGTGTCCGCAGCTTTCAGTTCGTGTGCCTAATACACTTTTTTTCGCTTCTATTTCTGAAATTAGGTGCTTGGATTTCGTTTTTCCGGTATAACAACGTAGTGTAGGTTCAAGACAATATTTTGTTAAAATAAATAGACACGTGCAACGGTAGAAAAATCTTGGACTCATGGAGTATCACCAATGTAGGGCTATTAGATGCCAGGAATTATATCTTATTGTGAGAAAAAGTTGTAGCGGTAATACAAATATGTAAGGTATGATATGCTATTGAATTTTAGGTTGGCTAACCATATGACATACAGAATAGAAATATGTGATGATTAACTAAAAATTCTGAAGAGGGAGATGAT